TGATCAGTGAAAAGTTTGCACTTTGTGTTATAAAGGTAATGCCTCCATATCATTAGAGCGAAAACTACCACTGCTAACTCCAAATCATGAGTGGGGTAGTTCTTTTCATGCTGCTTCAGCTGTTGAGACGCATATGCTATCACCTTTTCTCTTTGGGTCAAAACACAACCCAATCCAACACCGGATGCATCGCTATAAACAGCGAAGTCTTCAACTCCATCAGGTAGAGAAAGAATCGGTGCTTCACATAGCTTCTTCTTTAGCAACTTGAATGCTTCTTTGTGCTTATCACTCCAAGCATAAGTCGCTCCTTTATGGGTAAAAGTTGTTAGTGGAGTAACCATCGAAGAAAAAACCTTGGATAAACCTTTGGTGATATCCGGGTAATCTCAAAAAGCTTTAGATCTTCGTGGGACTTTTTGGTTGTTTCCACTTCATCACAGCTTCAATCTTCACTGGATCAACCATTATCCATTCTTGGTTGACCATGTGACCCAAGAATTGGACTTCACGAATACAAAAATCACATGTGGAGAACTTTGCATACAACTTCTCCTTATTCAAGACTTCCAACACTTCTTACAAGTGTTTGTCGTGCTCCTCTTGGCTTTTGGAGTAAATCAAAATGTCATCTATGAACACTATCACAGATTTATCAAGGTATGGTTTACAAACCATGTTCATTAAATCCATGAATGTTGTTCGACCATTAGTTAGTCCAAACGACATAACCAAAAACTCGTCGTGTCCATATCGTGTTCTGAATGCAGTCTTCTCGATATCCTGCTCTCTAACCTTCAGCTGATGATATCTTGACCTTAGGTCGATCTTTGAAAAATAACTTGAACCTTGTAAGTGATCGAATAGGTCATCAATCCTCGACAATGGATATCTATTCTTTATTGTTTCCTTGTTTAGCTCTCTATAATCGATGCACATTCTCATACTTCCATCTTTCTTTTTCACGAATAACATCGGAGCTCCCCAGGGTGATGAACTAGTTCTAATGAAACCGTTGCCAAACAACTCCTGAAGTTGCATCATCAGCTTCTTCATCTCCGTCGATGCTAGTCTGTAAGGTGCTTTGGCTATTGGCGTGCTTCCTGGTAACAAGTCTATTCTGCACTCCAGTTGTCTATTAGGCGATAATCCGGGAAGATCTTAGGGAAATACTTCCAGATAATCACACACCATAGAAATGCTCTGGACCTCCTTTTTCTCCTTCTTTGCATATATCACAAATGCCAAATATGAGGTACATCCTTTGGCCAAACACTTTCTGGATTTTATTAGTGAAATGATTTCAGAATTTACTTTGCATTTGTCCCCGTACACCATAAATGACTCCTTCCTTAGTGGGCTTACTTTTACTATCTTCTTCTTGCATAATATATTGGCGTCATTGGCGCTAAGCCAATCCATTACCAGCACGATGTCGAAACCATTCAGCTCGATAGGCAATAACTCCTCATGGAACTTATTCCCATTCAGATCGATGATGATCTTTTTCATAAGATGGCTAACAGGCACAAACTTCCCACTAGAAACTTCGACTAATAAAGCATTATCTAGTCTATTGACAGGAAAAGCTAGTTTTCTACCAAATTTCATGCGAAATAAAGGAGTAGTTGGTTCCAAAATCAAATAATCTTTGGGCAGGCAATTCGTTTACGAGAAAGTTACCTGAAGCGACATCAACTTCTTCTTTAGCAGCTTCCAGTGTCATCTAGAAGGCTCTTGCCTTTGGCTTTGGTGGAATGTTGGGTTTTACTTCCTCATTCTTTTTCGAAAAATCCCTCAAGATTTGCCCCTCCTCACCACACCTATAGCAGACTTTCTTGGTAAGGGTGAATTCATTGGCATAGTGCCCTAGCTTTCCACATTTGAAGCATGTGACTTCCCCGTCACATTGTCCATGATGCTTCTTCTTGTGTTTGTCGCACCATTTTTCTTCGCCTCCTCCGCCTCCTCTCAAACTAGACATCGAGAATTTACCCTTTTTGCTGGACCCCGAGGGTCCATCGAACTTCCTCTTCTCACCAACCTCTGACCTCTCTAGACCCTTCTCCGTGATCTGGGTCTCAACAATCTTAGTAGCCTAAATGGCGGATTTCAAATTTGTTGTTTGCTTAACCATTGCACCAAAGTTTATTGGTAATCTACGGGCAAACTTGTTTACCTTTGAGAGTTTACACTACTAGAAAACAGACCTTTAATGATGCGGTTTTTATGATGCGCACTGATTAATGATACGCAAAAGGACGTGCCCTTAAAATAGTGTTATCTCTCCAAAAACTTTAAGGATTTACGTCACGTATTATTGCGTGCCCTTAATTTAGTGTCTCAAGAAAAAAAAACACGGAGGGCACTTTATCTTAAACGCGCGTCATCTGTACCTATCGCTTTATAATTTTAATGAAACGCGCATTTAGTAGACGAGGGGGGAAACGAAATCCACAAAATTTTGAAAACCCGCCTCGTTTTTTCTATCTTCTATCTATCTTTCATCCTTGCAATCTACTCTCCCCTCTCTGATATTCTCTCCTCTAGATCTCTCTTCATTCTCTACCTCCCGTCTCTCTGTAAACCCTAAGCCATCGCCACCTCCCTTCTCTCTAGCATGTGTTAGGGTTTTATTTTCTTTCAAGCTTCCGCTTCTCTCGTTTTTTCTCAACCAAGTACGTGCGAGGGTTCGGAATAACTGAGCGAATTCAAACAATCAATCTTCCATTTCAACTTCTTTCAACTCTGGATCATCGGGTATTTTTCGGATTCCTTTTCCGGTTTTGTTCACTTTCGAAATTAGAATGGGACCCGTTCTTTTCTACTTCAATACTCTCAATCTCAACCGGCTTTTCTTCTTCCACTTTGTCTTCTTCTACTTCTTCTAACAATGGTGGTTCCTAATCAGGGGTAACCTCGGCAATATGCAATTTAAAAACCCCAAATAAGTCGAATTTTTAGGTATAGGGTTCTTTATCTAGAAGCACAAGGCCATATGCAATCCCTTCAGCTAATTTGAGCTCACAGGTATAGGGTTCTCTATCAATCATCTATCTTTTTTCCCTTTACATTAATTACTTGAAATTCCACATTTACTAAATTACACGTCAGTTTTTTTACAGCAAGTGCAACCTTCTTTCTTCCTAATGATGTACTTCGTCTCCTTAAAATTGAAGTTGCAGGTTTGTGTCTTCTACATCCTGTCTTCGCACGATCTATGAATAGTTTGCCATTGTATTTCATCTTCATCTTCTTTATCATTGCATCATGTCTACTCTGCTTGCAATCCTTATTCTCTTTGATTGGCTAGGGTTATGAGCTCTTGGACTATGGAATTTGGGGTTACCTAATTTCAGTGTAATTTTTTGATATTTTGTATTTTTTATGTAAGGTAAATGGTAACATCATGGGTAGCTTCAAAATTTCGATTGAGAAATAAAGAAATTGAAGAAGAGTGATGGTTGCATCTTATTGAAATTCATTTGCAACTAAGGTATTAGTGGAAGATGAATCGATGGATTACTAAAAAGGTTTCTCAATTTGGAAACAAGAAAAAATAATAGGAATATGTGACTGCCTTGGGTTTATCTTGGTATCTTAGTAAGTCTATGGGCTTATGCTTGTGGTGTTGATTTCTGCGAGTATCTTGTTGCAGGGGCGGTAATGGTCAATTTTTTCTGTTGCTAGTTTTGCCATTTTTAAGCATATTCCTTCCAGATTCTGCTTGGTGGGTGGGGGTTTAATTCTTTTGTTTTCTTTTTGTTTATCCTTGTATTATCCCTATATTGCCTTTAACTTTGAGCTCATGGCTGGGGTATGTTTTTTTAATGAAATTGTTCCCATGTTGCTCAAAAGAAAGTTGGTTTATGCATCTTACAGTGTTAAAAATTTAGTCTTTGCAAATGAGTTTTAAGCAATGAACATTTTCAAACTCACGTGCATCTCTTTCTCGTGTCATCTACGTGTATATGAGTAAGGTAAACCCATTTTTTCTTTTCAAACTTTTGACAACTTTCTCATCTATTGTTTGTTCCAAATTAATTAGTACCCTCGTCTGATCCATGTTCAGCTGGAAAAAATATTTTGATTGAGAATAAGATGAGGTCAATAACAATAACAGGGAACTCAGTGGTCTATCTAAATTGAAACAATAAAAAATAATGGATATGGAAAAATTACCTTCAACAACTTTGAACTATAATGGATATGCAAAAATTACCTTCAATCAAACTTCTATAAGTAAATGCAGGCTGTAGAGAATTCATGTTTCTTTTAAATGCAGGATGATACACTAGAAGAATTGCATGGTAATATAATTAATGATAGGAATCTAGTGATATGCAAACTCCAATAAGTCAGGGGGATGCATAGTTGTTCAAGGATTTAACTACTTTTGGTGTTTTTAAAGCTGAATATGCCACATTTTACTTCACAGGTATTTTCTTTCTACAATTTCCTGCTGTAATCCGGGATTATAATGAGTGCATAAATAGATGCAGAAGCTCTTGATTTCTTGTTTCTGTTCCTTTATGCTTCTGAATATTGGCTACGAGAAGAATGCCAATCTGATTTTTAGAATGTGTTGATCAGATGGTGAACATAGAATGAGATGAAAAGTCTAATGCAGAATATCATACTTTTCTCACAGTTCAAATTTAGAGTTAGTGCCAACATCAACTGGCAACTCAAAGGAAACTTCTAAAGCAATGGATGATCCATTTGTGGTTCTAGAATTTGCATCAACAACTGTCAAAGCACCACCGCCTCTATTTGTGGTTCTAGAATCTACAAAGGAAACTGTCAAAGCAATGGATATATGGGTTACCGTATCAGAGATACCTCTATTCACATAACCTACCAAAGCACCACCACCTTCAAGACCTCCCCCTCCAATACCAAGGCATACTTTAAAATCCGAATGAGGGTATTCTGGTAAATACTCTCAAAGCCATAACCCATTCCAAGAATCTCCATTAGATGAGTTTAAGACTTTTGCCATGGGTGGAAGTGGAACACAAGATAATGGTGTGGACCATGTTAATGGCGAAGAGATGGATTCAAATTCAGCTGCTGCTGCAATGAAAGATGTCATGGACAGAGCTGAAGCTAAATTCAGGCACGCAAAGGAAGTAAGGGAAAGAGAACATGCAAAAGCTTCTAGAAACAAAGAATCTGTAACTGTAAAACTATAAAGAGACGACATGAGTAATGAAGATGGTTCATCAAAGAGGGAAGAACAAGAGAGAGAGAGAGAGAGAGAGAGAGAGAGAGAGAGAAAAGTAGACTTGAAAAAAATCCGAATAAGGGAAATTGAAAGGGAAAAGGCTAGACAAGATGTGGAAAGGAAAACAAGGGAAGCCCGTGAAAGAGCAGCAAATGAAGCACATGACAGAGTAGCTGTTGAAGCTCGTTTGAGGTCTGAAAGGGCTGTTGTTCAAAGAGCACAAGCTGATGCACGTGAGCGGGCAGCTATTGATGCAAAGGGAAGGGCAGAACGGGCAGCTGGGGCATGTCAACAATATGAGGTCATTCCTTTGTCTCCAAACAGTGGGTTAATTAAGTGGGTCCCTAATTGTGACACCCTTCACCAACTCATCTGAGCGTACAGGGATACCCTCCACTTCAACGATATGAGGTCATTCCTCTGTAACATTCTAACTCATTTCCTACATTTTTTAATCTTGATTCCGTTTTTTTGATATAGGTTATTTACATGTGTTTTATTTTTTAAATGAACGGCTGATATGCGGTGGAAAAAGTTACTATGGTGCCGTTCTATGTTGTGCTTGGAGGTAATAAAATTACAAAAGTCATTCTTACATAATCTTTTATCAAGTGAAAAAAAATCTTGATTTAATTTAATTAATAAGTTCGGATGGGAAATACATTTTGTCTAGTGGAGAAGATGTTCTACATTTCCAGTAGGTAAATCCATAGAATAATGATGTTTAATTAAATTACTCAGGTTTGGCTGCATCTCTCTCCCTTTTGTGAGCATATTGATGACCCCCAAGTGCTTGTGGGCTGTAGAACTTCCTCTTGAAGCTGTCAACAGTGAAAATTTCAATCTGTGTTGTGTTGACTTGAAGAGTGATCTGTTAAAAAAACAAACTATTTTTAGGAAGCCTTGAAATGCATTCTGGTTTGACAAAAGTAGTTGTTGGTATGTTTACATAATTACACCATTTATAATATTTTTCAATTTTGGTTAACTTCTGAATGAAGACTTTGACACAGGTCAACTATAGGACCTGGTGATCCCAGTTACAAACTTTCAAAAAGAAGAGAAATGATTGATGGTGTTGGCATGTGATGTTTTTGATCTTCCCATTTGGAAGGATATTATCCACCGTATTGTAAGATGGTAGCTTGCAAAAAGACAACATGTATTTTTTTCATGAATTTAGAAACTTACTTATTCTAGAATTTTATATCTTCCTCATTTGTCTTAACCAAAAAGGTTACAATCTCTCGTTTGTGAAAAAGACACGACTGCCCTCATCCTCACTAAATTGTTGTAGAAATACTCTTCAATTTTGTATAATATTGAGTTTCTGTTTATGGGCATTTTTGTAATTTGCTTTTTTTTTTATTTGATTTCAGCTCCCAAAAGTATTGGGACATAACATAGCAGAGAGGGTTTTGTTGGATGCTCCTTGTAGTGGTATTGGGATAAGCATAAAAGCTTTATATGGTTTTTAGTTTAATAAGAAGATTTTTTTATTTATCTATTTTTAATGATTTTTACAGGTTATATCTAAAGATGAATCTGTCAAAACCTCTAAAACTGTTGTTGATGTACAAAAACTTCTCACGTCTACAAAAGGTACCCAAACGCTTTCTATCAATTAATTTAATCAGATCACTTATGTATGGTTTTCAGTTTTACATCACTTATGCAATTATTCTTGTAAAATTTTATTAACTATTTTAAGCAACTTATGTTAAAATTTTAAATATGTTGATTTGCAGGAATTAATACTTGCAACAACTGACATAGTGGATGCAAATTCAAAGACAGGGGGTTATTTCACGACTAAATATTTATTTTCAAACATCTTTTATCTGAGTCCTTGTGATATTGCAGAATGAAGATGTTATAGACTATGCACTGAAGAAGCGGGATGTGAAACTTGTGCCATGTGGACTAGATTATGGACGCCCAAGGTATCTATTTATTATTATTTTTTTTTTAAAAATTGATGAATATATTTGTGTCTAAAAGAATTTGTATTATTTTTTGAAGGTTTGTTCGATTTAGAGAACGTAGATTTCATCGATCTTTGGAAAAGACAAGACGTTTCTACCCTCATGTCCATAACATAATTGGTTTTTTTGTTGCAAAGGTATCACATTACTTTTATTGATTTTTTTTATTATTGCATCATTGAAAGTATGATAAACCCTAATTGGATTACTTGATATTGTAGTTGAAGAAATGAGTAATTCAAAGGGAGTTTCTGCAGCTTTTGAATACTAGGATATTTGTGTCTAGGATTGAACTGCACATGCACTCTTCTGGTAGATTTTACTAGAATTATATGTACAATATATAACAGTCTCCCATTTGGTAATGAATTGTTGCTTCCAAAACAAAAAAAAAAAAACTATCATAACATGTCAAAATCAATTGCTAAAGCAACCATGTGTAAGTTTTACTTGCAAACACAGTTTATTAGACCACAAGAGTAAGCTTCAAATTGATCATAAAGTTGAGTAATATATAGCAGTCTCCCATTTGACTTTTTTTAGATTCTCTATGATTTGTACTTAGTTTAATCTTCTATCCAAACCAAATTATCCTTGAAAAGAGTTATTAATGATCATCATTTTTGGCGCATCTTGTGAAATTGTTCATAGCTGGGCTGTTAATGTTCTTGTTTGTTTTCATTTGCACAGGTAACAATCTTGTTGAAAGGACTTATGAATCAGATGTTAATGGTAACAAGTTTAACACTCGAGTCCATACGATTAGATGTTAATGGTAACAAGTTTAACACATGTGTCTTTGTTATACATACAGATTAAATGCAATGGATTGTATTTTTTTGTATATGGTATTTTATTTTATATTATGCAATGGATTGTATTTTTTGTATATGGTATTTTATTTCTATTATGAGAGATTAAATGCAAATTTAATTTATAAATTAATAAATATATAAATATATTTTAAAAAAAAAAAAATTAAAATTACGATACGCAAAAATGTGTGTCGTCTTCATTTATGACATGGCCTTTCTTGACTGGGGCTTCCTTGATACGCATTGCGTGTCATAAACACGCGCGTCGTAAGGTTACGACATGCAAATGCGTTTCGTCTTCCTTTATGACAGGGCCTTCCTTGATACGCATTGGGTGTCATAACCGCACGTCGTAAATGCGCGACATAAATGCGCGTCGTAAATGCGCGTCGTATCTCTTTATGACAGGGCCTTCCTTGACGCGCATTTGCACGTCGTCTAAGTGTTTTACGACACACAATGAGCGTCGTAAAAAGCCTTTTTTCTAGTAGTGTTAGTTCGAACTAGATATGGTATAAGCTTCATCTTCTCCATAAATCTTGTAGCATATTCGGCAGCGCACATTCTTACCTTCTTCAAATTCTGAAACTCATTACTGATTTCCAGAAGGTCCTGCTTGGAGCAATATTGCAATTTCAGTTGCACAACAAAGTCTTCCCAAGACATATTGCTATCTTCTACCTTGGGCATTGAGTCAGTTAATAGCTTCCACCAACTCAACATGCCAGATTTTAATAGAGGGATCGCAACAGTAGTCTTCTGTCTATTGCTGCATTTGCAACTTTCAAAGATTGTCTCCATTTCGCATATACAGTTTATCACTTCCACCGGCATCGGGCTTCCAGATAGACATGGTGGTTTGGATGCCATGAAATCCTTGTACTTGCACCCATGCCCATAATTTCCACCATCATGGTTGTTTTGCCTAAAAATCGGAGGGTTGGCTGGACCAACAGTCCCACTGAAGTTTCCTCCTTCCGAATGCCCTTCATTCAACTTAGGTTGTTCAATTGGAATTGAAAGTTCTTCATGATTTTGCCGAAGCAGACGTCTCGTTTCTTCCATATGATGATCTAACATCGTTTGAATCATCAATTGTACCCCAACCATTGTCATTGGCTCAGGTGCTGCTGCTACAACATGTACTTGCTCAATCACTGGTGGTTGATTCATGTTTTCATCTGTGTTTCCACTTGTGGTTCTTACCATTTTTGATCTACACACCGAATAAGGTGAATTTAGATCCTCATTCACGATAGATAAACAAATCTTACATATCACTCCAAAACATTTACATGCTAGTTGTAATATCGTATGCATACTCTTAGAATTCTACACACATAAAGTCTCCAGATCTGGTCGACAATAGAGCATAGATCCGAACAAATAATATCATATATGGCAAACATATAACATTTTGCACATAAAAGCATTTTAGGTATCTTCCTAAAATAAACTAGTGCTCATGTCTAAAATAGGGTAGACACTCATCTCACAATTATCACTTAGCATTCTACATTTAAGTCTATAAATCCTACAAAAATACTTGTCCACTTAAACTAATGCTTTGCTACGAACTGTGACATCCCCAAAATCATGGCAAGAAAAGACCGGTTTTATTTTTGCTTTTAAAATGATTTCAGAGTAAATCCATTGATTGAAAAGAGTTGCAGATTTTTTCCCAAAACAAAATATGATAAATAAAAATTATCTAAGCATTCCTTAAAGAAATGTATTTTCATATATAAAAAAACTCAGGATGTCATGTTCCGATACATACCAAAAGCATGAACGGCACATTATAAGACTTACAATAGTTATACACAACTACTAGCCTATAAACAAGATATCTTCACAAGTTGTCCAACTGATGCTCTCACGCCACTACCAGTAATACAAATAAATGAGTGGGTCAGACTTGGGAGCCTGGTGAGCATATAGGGTTTTCAACCCACAATAAATAGTTATATTTAATTTTCACCAACCAACAATAACCCGATTACCCATTCCCATTATCGTCACTTTATGTCCCTAAAACAACAACTATCACAAGGGACCTAATCTAGGATTTTCATTGGGAGGGACATTACTGAAAAGGGCTTCCTCAACAGTATATGTCCTAAAGGCAACCATGAGGGGGATAGAGTACATTGGTGAACACATCGTTCATAACACCTACAGGTTATGAACCTGCTAGCATTCCACAGGACTGTCTAGAAAGAGTCTGTGGTTGTCATCCATACTCCGCTAGATGACTACATCAATAACAACATTGAGGCCTCTCATCATTTTATTTCATCACACAACAACTGCTTACCCATGTTCTACCCAACATATTAGTAGATAAAAGTACATATATTTATATACAACTTAAAATCCTTTAAAAATCATTCATTCAACAGTTATTTCAAATAAGCAAATAATGTACAAAGACATAACACATATTTTGTAGAGAATACTTCGTATCTATGTGTTGGAAGAAAAGGAATATACACTCACTTGATAACATGATTATCGAACAGCACTACAACTCTAAAACTAGTATTCTTGGGTGAAACTGGGAAATCTTCACAAACACCGTGCTTCTTGTGGGCAGAGCTTCGACTCGAAACTCTTTTCTTCTTTGGGTCTTCAGAGCGTCGGGACTTGATTCGGGCTTCGGGATGATACCGGGGCTTCGGGGATATAACTTGCACGTAAATCGAGGTAATATGGGTGAGAGAGATGAAATTTGGCAACCAAACTCGGGTGCCATCATGTTGTATTTATAGGGTACTGAATCCCTGATTACGCTGGGCGTAACCCAAGAGTACGTTGGGCGTACTCCCGTGTCGATATATACGCTGGGCGTACACTTCGTACAATGGGTGTACTAGGTGGATAAGGCTGGAGGCTTTCGAGGCTGCGACGTGGCTCATTTCAGCCCATGAACCATGAGTACACTGGGTGTACTCCCATTTCTGAAACTTCAAAAATTTGTATCTTTTGCATACGAGCTTCGTTTTTGACGTTCTTTATATCCACGCGTAGGTGAGACTATGCTTTACAACTTTCATTTAGATTCCGTCGGCTAATTTTGATTTTATTTTTATTATAATATTTTTAGTAAGCTGGGATTAAGAGAACTCTGTTAGAAATTCATAAATTCATCATCTGACATCTGTTTTGGTCTGTCTTTCTTCCATTGCACTACTATGACGAGATCTTCGTTTCTCGTTTAGATTGTTTAGGTTAGAAATCACTCGATCTCAAATCCGAACTTTGGGCTGCATATTGCTAAGCTAAAACTTAGAAAAATCATAACCTCCTCATACGAAGTCAGATTTTGGACGTTCTTTTTATGCATGCTCTCGGTTTAACGAACTCTACGACTTTTGTTTAGATCACTAAGGTTAAATATCGCTCTATTGTAAATTCACTATTTACGTCGTGTAGTGTCGTGCCGGTTCTCTCGCAAAACTTCGATAGGTCATAACGTTTTTGTTATAACTCGGATTTCGGCATTCTTTATATATTCGGAAACCTTGTCACGACCACTACGTCTTCCTGTATGGATATCAGTTTTATCTAACATTTTATTTTTACTCTTACTTTTATTCTTAGTTCAATTAAGCCACACAATTAAGCATAAAACACATAATACTCAAATAATAGATTATTATTATTTTAAAATGAGTTACAAAGGTTAACCTAGACTATTACATCATCATTAATGCCTAGCTCAGAAATACGGGCGTTACATGGTGCGGGTAATTGCATTGTAGGATTGTATTAAATCGTGGCAATGGAAAGGAAGGCTCTATTGACAACCTTTGAGGACTGGCAGAAAAGACTTGGTCACTCATCATCCAAGATGATTTCAAATTTAGATTTTGTTAAAACTGTTTCTAAAAATAATCAAGTTGAAATGTATGATGCTTGTTTTAAGGCGAAGCACACTAGGCATCCTTTTCCCATTAGTGAAATAAAAACTATTGTTTGCTTTGATCTTGTGCATTGCGATGTATGGGGAAAATATATAAACCCTTCTCTACTGAAGGCTTCCTATGTTTTTTTCTATAGTCTATAATTTTAGTCGATATGTATGGACTTTTATCATTAAACACAAACGTGAGGCAAGCACATGCATCATAAACTTTCACAAATTGATCAACACTTGATTTGGAAAACAGATCAAACGGATAAGATATGATAATGGAGGAGAATTTTTTTCCAACAGGATGTATAATTTTTAGTTGCAAGAATGAATTGTTTTGGAGACTTCTTAACCTTAAACCCCACAACAGAATGGAGTGGTGGAACACAAGCATAGACACCTACTTGAAACAGCACATGCTCTTCTTTTTCAATAAAATCTTCCGAAGGCCTTTTGGGGAGAATGTATTCTAGCAACTACCTATGTTATAAATTGACCCCCT